ATAATATACCCACTGGCCAATACACACACTCACTGACTCAAACATGCACACTGGACACACATACATGAACACTCTTTCACTGACCCATGCACACTGGACACACACCATCATCTGCTGGAGCACTGAGCGTTGGGATGCTGTCTGTCCCCTACTCTTTCCATATACAAAGAGTCTTTGGCTCTGGTGCATAACGTCCTATATCCTGGTAGCTTCCCGCACTGTGCATATTATGAGGAATGACTGGCTGCGACTGCTCCTCACACCTCTCCACCATAACTTGTAGCCTACGCCACTCCACTGCTAAACGTCGTTAAAAATCTGCCAGCAGGAATTTTGCAGGCTGCAACGGCTCACTGGAAAATGTTGCGTTACTGGGTTGGACTTGTGGGGATTTTCTCCCCAACTTATATTATTACTATATAACTATGCATATGAAAATGCTACATTTTATGCAGTACTTGTGCACATTTAACATTTGATATTAGCAGACTACAACAGGAAAGTCTATTTCCTCCCTTTGAAAGGAGGTGGACATATACCCAAACATTTACCATGACCTTGCTGCTACCCTGCAAGCAGTGAGGGAGTTAAACACTTAAATGCAATTTCCCTTTTATAGTGGCCCAGCTTTGTTCGGAAAGACTGTGTCAGTGCAAGTGTTTGATGCTGCTTTGCCCTGACCTCTTTCTTACAGGATATCCTCCTGACTTCCTGTCTGCTTTGGGTTTCAGTTACAGGGATGACCCTTTGGGTCTGCCGAGTGAGCCATGACACAGTCACATTGGGTGGATGAGAGGCCAAGCTCTTTAAATAAATGTTTCCAATAACTCCCTGCCCAAGCCCCATTCCCACATTGCACAAGCAAGAATTTAATATATGTAACGATATTTCAATATTCAAACTATTTCCTTAAAATTGATGACTTTGTAGATTGAGATTTAAAATAAAGGAGCATGTAGGGAATAATTATCTGTTTAAAATGTCTTAAAACTAAGAAAATAGCTTAAAATGGATCCTAATACTATGTAAACACTACCAATGCCTTAGCAATGATTATCATTATGCCCTTACCATCAGAACGCTGGCATGACAATGTCACTTGACAATCAAATCTGGGTATTAGCAGTAGTATTAGTATTAAATGGACTGACTGCTCAACATGAATTCCAACCTGCTGTAATACTGTGAAGAGGTGTATGAATATGAGTGCAACAAAACAGTTTAAGGATTATTTACTAAAGTAGGAATTACAGATTATTGACAAGGGCTCTCTAGCCAGAACCTATTACTAATTGGTACAACCAAAAAAGTTATTCCAGTAAGTAAATGTTGTTTTACCACCATGGCAAGTAGTACCAAGGTCTAATAAATTGACGTGAACATATTATAGATTTCAAACTCTTCTGGAAAAGACAAAATATGCACTTTTTAGCTGGAATGTACAATTTTATTCCACATCTCTAGCACACAATAATTAACCTTAGACTTCAATGTAATGTGATCTCTCTCTTCATAAAATATTTAACATATTAATCATTTAAGAAAGAAAGAAAAAAAAAAAGACAACATAAACAAGAGGAAATATTGTTTTATTCAGTCATTAACAGGGTCTCACAATAAGTACTTTCTGGATCACTTTATCATTTAACTGGCTGAATGTCGAATTTGTGTCTTGTTCTCTTTCTTGCTCCCTATCTGCAGACAGAACACTGCACAGTCGAATAGAAAAAGCCAGTGGTAAGACACAGTAAAGGGAATCCTCGCTCCATAGAGCTTACATTCTAGTGGAATGCTAATATTACTCTGCAGCCAATTGCAATAAGTCATTTCAACAGCAGTTTTACAAAGCTCCAATGCACACAGAGTAATATGCATATAGGACCTGGCAGAAAGGCATTCATCCAGCAATAGCATAACAATGTGCGTATAGCAGTACTATTATGAATACAAAGTAAGGCTAACAGCCTCAGCTATGGCAGCACTGGGAGCTGCAAAAGCAGAGAGCTTTTTAGCTGGGCCTCCAGACTGCCTTCCCCAAGCACATCGCATCAGTGCAAACTAGAGGAGAATATTGTGACTAGATATACCTTTTTCTCACTGAGCCACGGAGATGTGTTTTAGATGGATTGTTCTAGATTTGTCAAGCAGCAGGTGGAAATGTTTATTCGGAACTGCTTACTTGTTTTTGTTTTTTTAATCCCTCTCATTAAATGCATTATAAAAACCATGAACGCAAAAAATATTTCCTGCTGAATATTTTGCATTTTTTTTCCTACTGATTTTCCTTTTCTGAATTGCTGTAACACAGTAGTGCCTGAGATTCCAAACCAATCAATCCCTAGTTTCCAGTTCAACACTAGTAGACGTGTGTGCATAGGTCATCCTGTGCAAATGTAATTTTACATATTCATTTATTTATTACTGGTATTTATAAAGCACCAACATATTCCGCAGCGCTGTACAATCAGATACAAAGTTCTATATCAGCCTCACAAGTGCAAAGTACCCATGAGCCATTGATAGAGGTTTCTCTGGAAGGGCATTGGATCACAGGAGAGCAGAGAAGTAGACATTGTAATAACATAAAACATGCATTGCCAATGTTGTCAGTAAATGACCATGAAAGTAATTTTTCTGGAATAAACTTGAGAAGCAATATGCAGGGCCAGTTTTACATTTTCTGTTGCCACCATGCCAGATTCCCCAATTCACTTCAATCCATCATATTTATGAAGCTTGGAGTATGTGATTGTAAGGATGAATGTGTCTACTTTGGTGTGTGTGATTTGATGGGAAGATTTAACTAGTTTGGAGTATGTGATTGGATGGATACATTTAACTAGCTTGATGTATGTGATTAGATGGGTGCATTTGACTAGTTTGGGATATGACTGTATGGTAATTATGGGTGGGTGGCTGAATGTCAATATCATTTCGGCGGTGGGTGGGTATAAGTGACATGTTATGTGGCCAAGTTTGTGAATGTGACAAAGTGAGGGTATATGACTGGAAGGTGAGATGTGACTATCTGACTGGTGTTTTAGGGAATATGATTGTTACCGAGTTTGTGGCTGGTTGGGTGGCTGAATGTCAATTTGTATGTAGGAGCATATTTGTGAGAGAGAGTGTTAGTGAGTGCACATGAATGGCAATTGTATTTGTGTAGAGTGCTAATGGTGTGTTTTCAAAGAGTGTCATTGTGTGTATAAAGGAGCATATTTGTGTGAGGTTATAGTGTGCACTGGCTTTCCAATTCCCAGCATCCTCTTTTTTAGCTCAGTAGCCCTCTCTATTCATTATGCCACTTCTCCCCTTTCCTTAATTATGCCCTCTCCACACACTTCTCCATTTCTCCAGTTGTTCCTCTCTTCTTATTCCCCTTTTCTCTCTTATTCTCCTCTTCATTTACCCCTTTCCTCACTTTCTCATCTCTTCATTCTCCCAATTACTCACTTGTCACCCTCATCTAACTTGTTCTTATTTTCTTTATCTTTTAAAATACCTGGCTCACTCTTCTGCCCCCCTGATCACTGCATCTCTTTTGTCCCTCACAGGCAGCCAGACCTAAGGAGGGTTATGATGCTGATGTAATTTCTGTGCGCTCTCCTGCAGTTCTTTTGTGGGAGAGAGGACCTGCTGCCTTGAGTGCCAGGCAAGAAGGGGAAAGAGTTATTCTCCTTCTCACCCGAGCACTACTGCTCTACCACCAATGATACCGGGTCAAGCAGGGCTGCCCCTCTCCTGTGTGCTGCCCCACAGCCATGGCCTCATCGGTCTTGTGGGAAATCCGGCCGAGCAATACGTTATGTTCTTGATTTAGAGAGACTATTGCTAGAGGTATGAGACTGGAATCGCAGCTTAGTAAGGCATGTGCTCCAAACCTTGTTATGTGCCTGTGGTCAGGTGAGGGCCCTATGTGGCAACTTAAATAGTAGTGTCACCTTGGACTAATCTAAATGTGTGATGTTTTCCAATTCAATTGGAATTTGTCATTTATTTAATAGCTCCCTGAATTAAACTGTGCAAGGATAAGGTATTAGTTCTTCAAACAACTTAATGATGCTGGGTTTCTATTATGTTCAAGAGAAAGAATCGTTGTCTCTTTAGTTATGTATGGGCTTCTTTTTAAAGTAAAAACTGCCAAACAGATTGGAAATGAGAAATACAAGGTTGAAGAAGTACTGTAAAAGGGTGCATTAAAAAAAATGCATGATGCCAGTTCCAATTTTAGTCTGTATCACTTTTGTCTATAGCTAATAAACATCTGTAGAAGGGGAAGTTTGAAATATTTTATTATATTTGGTTACTCCAAGCACTATGGTCACTTCAGTGATTTGAAGTCGTTATGGTGACTGGAGTAAGTTTGTGCAACATTTTACTATGAAACACTTCACATACGTAGATTAACCCCTTTGCTGCCAGAGGTGTCACTCAACAAGCGTTCAGGACTGACTAATATTAACTATGTCTAAAGTTGGCATCTGACACCAGCACGCACGCATGCCTCCTTCCCTGTCCTGGCTAGGGGGGTGACATCAGCAGAGGAAGATTAGGCTGAGGGAGAACTTGGCCTCGTTGCTGGAATTGTGATGAAGTTTAGGGATGTGGTTGCGGACCAGTCTGTGAAGGGTTACTTCATCCAAATCCAGTGTTTCAGTTGGAGTAACCTTTTAAGGTATTTTTCATCTAAAAACAAGAAAGGAGGTTAGCGCTAATAATAAAAAGGTTATTAATTGTGTATTTTATATAATTAAAGAAGATATTTTGGTTACTATCTGTGCCAACTATCTTTTTACACACTATTTTATTTATTTTCACCTGGCATCTAATTGATTTTACCACGTGCTTACAACCCTATCCGAGGTAGGGATCATACCACCAAAGCTGTTACCATAGTGCAGTTGGCCTGCACTACACTTGTAAGTACATTTTTATTTATTTAAACAATAGTGATGTCCCGAACGGTTCGCCGCGGACTCATCATTGAGTAAACTTTGACCCTGTACCTCACAATCAGCAGCAGACCCTCCCTCCCAGGCCCTCCCACCTCCTGGACAGCATCCATTTTACATTCATTGTGAAGCTGCATTCTTAGTGAGCTGTCCAGGAGGTGGGAGGGTCTGGGAGGGAGGGTCTGCTGCTGATTGGCTGGAATGTGTCTGCTGACTGTGAGGTACAGGGTCAATGTTTACTCAATGATGAGTCCGTGGCGAACCGTTCGGCGAACCGTTCAGGACAACTCTTAAACTGTGTTAAACAGTGAGCACTATTAGTTGTTTTTATATATCCCTTTTCCTGAGAGTTGGACGCCATTCCCTCCGGAGGACAATCATCCACGTATCCCATAAGCGGGGATTGTTCCGCTGTACGCCTGTTATACCTGAGCTGGTTATAGCTCATTTAAATGTGAGTGGAATATTTATATCTTTATCTCACATATATTGACCCTTACACTCTATACGATTGGTCTCTTATCTTGTGTCTTCCATATCACGAGACCAACTGGACTACTATAAACAGAGAAGAGACCCCATCACCAAAAGCACCTTATAAGACATCTATTGCCACAGTGCAACTTCTAAAATCTTTTTGGACTATTTTCGATATTTTATTTTATTTTACTTTTATAAGTTTTATTTATATGTTTATTTACTATTTGTAGTCCACATTGATACATTTTGGCGCAGCCTTGCATTACTGTTGTTGTTGTTTTCCATTTTTCATCTAGTTACTTCTGCATATAAATTATTGGAGTAAGTGATCTTCATCTCTTTAATTGGGTGTGCCATCTATCATAAAGAACCACCTAAAGTGAACTCTATTAAGAAATGTTATGGTATAAGGCAAAAACATCCAAAGCTCTCTTTATAAATATTTATGATTATTTATCTATTATGCGTGATCTGGCACATTTAAAATACATTTCAGCTTTCCGGTACTTTATACGTTTTTATTTAGGTGGCCTTGTGAGTTCTTCAGGTGATGACATTTTCTGCACATTTGTTATTTGCTTCTTCCTAGGTAATTGGTTTCAACTTCAAACCCTCTATGACTTCTAGCAGTCTGGGCTGAAAAGAAAGGTGGCATTACTAGTGAGTGATACTACGCTGGTGAAACAGTCAGAAATTATCCTTCCAGTGCTAGCCTACATCCTCTGATTGCAGTGACTGTATTCGCACTGCATCGGTGTCTTTTTCCGACCCAAATCCCTCCATAATGCTTTCCTACCCTAATCTCTCTCTTTTCTAAGAGCCCTAAGTATATGGCATATATGGGTGTTTTCCGGTGCTCTGTAGCAATAATTAGTGTAAAGTAAATTTAATTTACCTCTAGGTGTCAATATGCATATAATTATGCTGTTTGATTGCTGTTATATTGTTTGAATACAATATGGTCGAGTTTCATCTGAAGCTTGCTCTATTGCATTATGTATATAATGATAGTGAAATAAGGAGTTTGTTGAAATGGTTGGCAAACGAACAGCGAAAAAGGCTTAACTCAGGTATGTCACCAGAATTTCGGATTTCTTTTTTTTTGTTTAGGAAGGAGAAAATATTTCTATGAAATGGTTGAATAGCACCATGGTATCTTAATGGCCTCAAAGGATGGGGTTGGTCAGGGGCTCATGTTATTTGATTCACAGAAGTACAAAACGTCACAAGTTTTAATTGCCATAAACCTTACCAACTCAGGTGTCGTCTTGGTTGCAGCTTTAGGAATCACTCCTTGGCAGGGTCCCTCTATCAAGTTTAGTATAAACTTTATTGAGCTGTGTTTAGCTGGACTTACTGGAATTCTTGTTCTGCTGAGTCCCGCGTCTGAGCACGTTTAAAAATGTAGTGCAATGTAATACAGCAAAGATCAGCAATGTTTGTTTATATGGCAGTGATTAAATAAGTTGTGTTGTGCTCACTAGAAAATAGCTACTAGATTAGGCTGTGTTAATTGCTAAGCATTCCCTTTATTTCATGAAATGCCCCTTTATGTAAAGAAATGGGAAGAAAACACAAATGTCTATCTTAAAAAGGTACATTGGATGCACCAGTTTGAATTCCTCCAAAGTATCCTTTATCCAAAAAGACAGTAACAATTTGCAAGCCCAGTCCTGTTGTGTCAGTATTATATTCTGATGAAAAAAACTGAAAGGTGGGCACCTTATTACGTGTGATTGTGGCTGATCAGAGTCCTGAGTTTGCACGCTTTGCCATACCTCCCAGGTGTCCCTATTGTGGTTCCAAATCCTTCTGTCACTTTTTTCTAGCCTTCTTTTATAGGAGATCCATATTGTTGGTGTGTCTGAGTGTATATCAGCGATAATGAGAGCATATCCACAGCAATAATGCTCACAGTACTGCGTCTTTAAACTACAATAAGTGTGTTTAGAAATAATTCTGTGTAAATAGTATACATTGTTTTTGTTCTAAATTACATTTTAGTTGCATAAATTGTTATTAGTAACTCACCTAGCATTTCTCAGAAAATCCCCACCCCTGGCCATGCCCCTAATCACACCCCTAAAATGAATGTGTCCCGCTTTGTCCATTTAAAATGTTGGAGGGTATGCTTTACATGGGCAGTCCTAGTTGGCAGTTAATTAGAGCCACTGTCAGCATAGCACACATTGTCAGAGTGGTTTATTCAGTGCAAAACAAAAATGGGGATCCTGGCTCTTGCTGGTACAGCTCCATACCCCTAAACCAGCTACACAATCATAATGTCCTGTTTTTCACTTTTTGAGAGTTTAGGCTTTTTGCAATTACATTATATTAAAGGATCACTGTAGTGTCAGGAAAACAAAGCGGTTTTCCTGACACTAAAGTGCCCTGAGGGTGCCCCCACCCTCAGGGTCCCCCTCCCGTGGCGCTGAAGGGGTTAAAACCCCTTTAGCAACTTACCTTATTCCAGCGTCGGGCTCCCTCGGCGCTGGTGACCTCTCTTCCCCGCCGACGTCAGCTCCCTCTGCCGACGTCAGCGGAGCCGAATGCGCATGCACGACAAGTGCTGCACGCGCATTCAAAGTCTCCATAGGAAAGCATTTCTCAATGCTTTCCTATGGACGCTCTGCGCGATGGAGGCATACTATGCCTCCAGCGTCGCAGATGCACCTCTAGTGGCTGTCCGGAAGACAGCCACTAGAGGCTGGCTTAACCCCAAATGTAAACATAGCAGTTTCTCTGAAACTGCTCTGTTTGCATCTGAAGGGTTAAAACCTGAGAGACCTGGCACCCAGACCACTTCATTGAGCTGAAGTGGTCTGGGTGACTATAGTGTCCCTTTAAGTCCATTTTATTTATGGTCTAAGTAACCGTGAACTAATGGTGCTCTGGAACCCTCCATGAAATTCATTACTATTTGTATAGAGAAAAAGCTCTGTTTTGTTTATGGGAAGTAATGTATTCAAAATATTAGAGTGAATGTCATAACACAGTAGACAGTGGGTTGAATTATACCTTTGTCACAGTGACTTAGGGTGGTATAACTGCTGAATGGTGGAATTCATAATGTTTCCTTGTTGAAATCAGCCAGTCATGTAAGCAAAGCTGACCTGATACAGTGATTGGCAGCATTTTATTAGGCCACGCTCAAATGCACAGGCAGAGGCTGCACAGACTCAAAATCTATTTCCTCTCATCGCCCAAACTAGAAGATTTCAAGACCACTATATTGGGACTATCCTACTTAAACTCAGATATTTAGCAGATTTAGCTATGGCAACCAGCTAAGAACTTTCATGCCAGGGCTAAATCAGAAAGCCATCCATTGTTATATTTTCTGTTACATCCTTTTTAGGTTTGTTAGAATGATGTTTATAAACCACATACATGGAAACTTGTGATGTTTAAAATGACAGAAAAAGCCAAACCACTGTATATTTAAGGCAATTATTTTCTTAAAGGGACACTATAGTCACCTTCACCACTTCAGCTTAATGTAGAAGGTTTTTGGTGTCACAGTGTTTACATTACAGTTACACCTCTAGTAACAGTCAGTCAGATGGCCACTAGAGGTGCTTTCTATTTCAGTGCTATTTAGTACAGATGTTGAAAGCTCTACGTAGAGATGCACTATACTGATTGGCGCTGTGTGGCATTAGTGGTGCATGCACAATAGACTCCCAATGCTTTCCTATTGGAAACATTGGATTGGCTGAGATCAAGATTGATAATCTCTGCCAGTGAGGCAGGGTTAACCAATGTACCTTTTGCCTCCACTCTGAGGGGGGCTGAGGAGATAAACTGTTACTCCAGCACTGTCGTGTTAGGAATACATGTTTGTATTCCTTTAATTCTAAGCTGTAGTCAATGTAACTAATAAACATACAGTTCAAGGCTTACAATTCTAATATGTGTATATATATATATATATATATATATATATATAACAAATATATTCTCTGCTACGCTGTGTGTGTGTGTATATATATAATATTTTTTATTCGTAATATGCCTGAGGCCCTTATTAGCTCATTGCATATAATTTTCAATATGTGCATTTGCCTGCAAACTGCTATAGTGAAGATAACAAACTGCTGTTTGAAGGTTTTGCTACTATTACTACAGACCTCACAAGGTTAAATAATATGGACCACAGAGCAGGGAAGTTTAGTCTGCCTCTCAATCCTGACACATCCCTTCCCATCTAATCATTATGTAGGGGCCGCTTGCAAATGAAGCAGCTTCCCCTGCCGCTGCTGCTTGCTAAATTGGTGACATCTGTCAGAGAGAGGATTAGTCATATTTCATTTAAATAAGTCACTGACTCCTGAAATGAACTGCAGGGTCTGACGAGGAAAGGAGGAGGGGGCCCCTGTGCTCATTGTTTGTGCCTCCAGCCTCCCTACTTTTCTTCCCTTGTCTGCCGTGATGGATCTGGCAGGGCTATGCTACGTGTGTAATACTGAATTGTAGGGTGGGGGAGTACTGAGGCCTACAATTAGCAAGAAAATATTTAACAAAGAACTCACAGTGCTTCTTACTGTGCTGAGAACATTTATATAAGTAAGCGTTTATGCATTTGTACACGGATTCCAGTCCATTCTCATAATATATATATATATATATATATATATATATATATATATATATTATATTTATGAATTGTGTGTGTGTGAAAAGGTTTATACAGACTCCATCACAATATCCATTCTCTTGGACGGA